TATATATGTCACTTACTGGTTACTTTTTAGATTCATGTTTTATCTATTAAAAAAAACGCACTATAAGCTGTTAAAATATGAGATTGGGGCTGGGTTGAGACCAGGTCATGACCAAGACCAGACCCCTCCACATTTCCATAGAAAAAACACCCACAGAAACAAATGACAATTCTTTTTTATACATCTCTTCTATCACTATACCTTATATATGTGTGTATGTGTAAATGTACCATGAGAAATGTCTTGATAAAATAATCACAAGGAATTACAGAGGTGAATCTTATGTGTGGGAATTTTCTCTTGTTTTATGTGAGCAAACAATACAAACAAATACAAATAGCTGAAATTATCGCAACCAACTTTATTGAACACTTCTTTTTTGCGCAGGCGATTTAGTGATATCCCCATTCCTAGTCCCCGTCGTCTGAGATAGAGATAAGACCGAGTAAAACTGCAGTCAAGTTTGAGACAAGATCTTCAAAAAGTGGACTGGAGACTATGGCGGAATTTATACTTCTGCGTCGAATCGACACCATACGTGCACCTCCCCAGAAATGTAACAATGCATTGCAGTAACGCTGACCTCCTGTCTATTTTTGCGAGTTGAAAACCATTTCCCTCAGTGGAATGGAAGCTTTTATTAACTTTAATTTCACATATAAGAAACAATCAATTGTGAAGACAATAAAGCCTCCACAAAAATAGCATCTCAAGTCTTGTGTGTGATTTATCCTGGCTTCATATAAGCAGAGGAAATCTCTGCTTGTTGCTTGGCTAATTTATACAATGTAAAATGCCATAGGCTTGTGCTAATAACGTTAGCATCTTATATTTGTTTGAAAAACGTGTTTGGTATAAGTTATTTTGTCGGTGAACCTTGTGAGTTGTAATGGAGCCAAATTATGTAACGTTACCTTTGTTAAATGTTGCTGTTGTCCTTGGCTTCATATGAGTTGAGGAAAAGATTGCTAGCTGCTAGGCTAATTAATACAATGTAAAATATCATAGGCTTGTGCTAGTAACGTTAGCATGTTGTATTTGTGGGGAAAACGTGTCCAGATAAAGACAAGTGTTTTGTCTGTAAATGCTGTGAGTTATAGTGAAGCCGATTTGTATACTTGTGTTTGAAATAGTCTCTATTAAGCCGTGTTTAATGTGTGTTTCGGGTGTGTTCAACTCAACTTTACAACACTCCACAGAAACCCCGTTGCCGACTAGTGTTTTGGAGGTGTATAACTGCTTAGTGACACAGACACACCACTACACATGTAGCCTATAGATGCTCACAACGGTGTAGGCCACATGCATAGGCTACAGCATAGGGTCTGCCTCACAGGTATAAATCCCACTTAAGACCGATCCTGAGTACGACAACACTGGTCACAGGAACCAGTATTCTGCAGAACTACTGGCAACTTTTAAAGTACATTTTGCTGACAATTCTTATGTACTTTTACATAAGTAGGAATTTGAATACATCCTTCACCACTGTACCAGTGTGTTTAAGTACTGAATGTACACTAATGTTCATGTGGTGTAAACATCCCATCACAATTCTCTAAGACTGTCCTCTGGATTTATTGTCGCCCTCATAACTTGTGTGAACTAACAGATGGAGATCATCAACCGAGACAAACGAGGACGGGCACACACAGCATCTGAGAAACCCTCATTACCATGAGAGCGAGTGGAGAAGCTGGTGACCTGCTGCGGCCCTGAAGCTGCCACTAGACAGACTGTGTTAGTGAGTCAGTGAGAGAGCTGCTGTAACAGATGCTGCAGAGCAGCAGAGAAAACACACTCCATGACCTCAGCTCCCACCTGCCTGCAAATTCATCTCATAAACATCCCGAAACCATTTCCTCCTTTCATCGAGACTTTGCATGAAAGTTGCTGAAATCTTCCACTTTGCAAGGACCACACAAAAGTTTCTGTTGAGGGATAAATTGCTGCAGTTGTTATGTTTCCACCATACAGGGTGCTGTCAGGGAGCTTTGCTTAAACAAATTGTACCAGAGGTTGTAGCGCCAAATTATAAAAAGCCTTTTTCATTCATGCTCTATATTTAACATTAAAAGTGTATGAAGGAATCTGTTTGTGCTGGACAGTAAAGAGCACGGTCAGAAAATGAACAGAAAGAATGAAGTGTGCTGAAGAAATAGCTGTGGTGATTATTTATACATTACCGAGTCAGACAGTGTTCCTAATAAATCTGGTGACAAAGTGTAAACAGAGCATTCCCAGACACCTCACATGGAGTCAGTGCCAGGTGAATAAATGTTTTCTCAATCACTCATCTACTGTAACACAACACGACGAACGTGCAACAGGCTGGTGGTGCGAGGCTATATGGCTTTTGGTGCCATTTCCGAGAGACGTAAACGTGCTAGTTGGAATCACTCAGGTATTTCTCTGAGGTGTGTTATTCTAAAAGCATTTAAGAAATGTACCACTCCTCATGCTAATGGCCCTTCACTTGTGTTAACTGCTGTTAATGCTAAATGGGCGGTGGAATGACCTCATGTTTTTAAATATTTATTCAAATTATCCCATCAGTAGTGACCCTTTAGATTTTTTAAATAAGGCATCCGTCTTCAACGGTGGCTTTGTTTAAAAAAGGAAAAACTTTATTATTAAATATACTAAAAAATCAGAACACCATTCAGTCAAATACCCTTCAGACTAGATCATAAGAGAATAGACTGTACATTTGTGCACAAATCATACACACCATCCTGCTGGAAATGCTGTATGAGAGTATTTGGTTTTTATATTTTAACAGCACTTGTAAGTCTTTCACTCCAATACATACAGTATGTGGTCGATAATAGACTGAGGGTCTCACTGACAACACAAAATGCTGAGCACCATTGTTGACTTCAAGATAAGCACCAATTCAGTCGAACAGTACAACTGAATGAATTTACACACCTTCCTTAAAGCAGTGGCACCCAACTGGTCCAGCCAAAAGGTCCAGAGTTCTCCTTTGTCATTAGTTCAAGGTACACACAATTAAAGTATATTCAGCATTATACTTGCATTTGGCCATGTTGTCGAGCAAGGTTGCCATCTCTGTCAAGTAGCTGTCTGTTATTCACTTGACAGCAGGAAACAGCACTTCAAAAATGCAAAAAGACATGTTTGCAAGTCACTTGCTGTCCATTCAGAATGGAACCAGGACCCACTTTTGGACCGCGACCCACCAGTTGGGAACCACTGCCTTAAAGGAATTCTTCACCCCCCAAATATCATTATATCAATTACACCATGATAGGTTGAATTCAGGAAGAAAACTTTGTTTTTCTCACACACCTCCACGATAAGTGAAGAATCCAAAGCTGAGAAAATTCTTGATGAATAGCTTGTTTGCATCATGTGACTATTATCAAGATGAAATTCTAGATTCTGCGTGAATTGGATATAGAGAAGAAAAGTGACTGCATAAAAGGTTGGATGATACCTGCAGGCAGCACATATCGGATGTGATCCATACAAGACGAGGAAAAGGGATTTTCCTGAAACTTGACAGATTTGCACATATCAGTGCTGATACGATCATCGTTGCAAGTGACCACGTCCTCCAGGCCTCTTAACGTCGCTAACCTTACAAAGCGCATTGATAATTAAGCGTACAAGAGTCTAATAGACCAACTATTTTGTCTGTGGTTGAGTCCACAATTAAAACGACTGTCATCCTGTTTTTGGCTGAGTGCCTGAGTGTAATTTTCTGTAACATTACATGGATGTACTGCTCACATCAGGCTAACGTTACTAGCTAACGTTAGCTAACTTTATCTACTATTTTCCACCTACTAGGTCAACAGTTCCCAGAGGTTTGGTGAAACGCTGTTGAAAATCTGGGTGGTGGCTAAAAACACGGAGAAGTTCTCACAGGACATTGTGTTTCAAATATTAATACTTAAGCTAAAAATGCATGTGTATGGGAAGCACTGAGCATACGACTGAATAAATGAGACTTATACTGCACGAGTTGTCTGAAAGTTTATATGGATGTTTTGATATAGTGTTGCTGTTATTAAAATCATCAAGAATTTTCTGTTTTTGGATTCTTCGTTCACCGTGGAGGCATGCGAGAAAAACAAGGTTTCCTATCCGAACTCAGCATAACACAGAGTGAGTAATTGATATATAAATGATCATTTAGCAGGTAAAGTATTCCTTTAACAATAACTTGTTTTCTTTCTATTCGTTAACACACTTTCCTCAAGTTTCCTGCACACACACACACACACACACACACACACAGAGCTAACAGAAGAGTCTTGCATTGCTTAAAAAAGTATATTCTTACAAATAACATAAGTTAACACCTAGTTAGCGTAGTTGTAGCTACAAGATATCACATGACATAAATACAAATAGAAAACACTGTAGAGTAAAACAGCTGCACAACAGAGCAGCAACTGTTCATATAAAGCAACAAGAAGGTATTAAGTATGTTTCTATGAGACTTATTTTGTCTTCAGTCAGGTCAGCTTCTGTGGAACAAAGAGTAGACGTCAATGATCTTTTTACTTCTGATCTCAGCTGCAAGGAGTGAGAACACAAGACTGACTTACACAGTGATCCTGCAGTTCCTCGCCTGGACGTAGCTTCCTGTGTACCTGATGTCGCAGCGCACCTCATTGTTGGAGAAATCTGACTCCGGAACCAACTGAGACGGGTTCACTGTCACCTGGGTGAGCAGAAACACATGTATCATTTGATTCTGGTTATATGAAAACATGCTGTTGTGAAGTCTGCTCAGGATGAGAAACAATTGTATTCCATAAAGCAGTTGTACACACCTTCAGTATGTAGTTCCCAGGTGGTACATCTGTGATGTCGATCCACTGGCAGTCGATGTTGGCGTGATACGTGTCGTAGCAACCAGGGCCGAGCCCCTGAGAAAAATCCAAACTTACATTACTCTTCTGTTGGCTTAAGGAAAAGTGTTTATCCCGCAGTCATGATAAATCATAGCCCAGAGGGACCAACCTGTGTGTGAGCAGTGCAGGCGAAGCGTCGTTGTATACCCGGGTCACAGGACGTGTCCTCCAGACAGAAACTGGCCTTATGTCCCTCAGCGACCTTCTGTCCAGTCGAGACGTCCAGCAAGTCATAGTTACTAAAGGCCTCCATGCTGTGGTAATGCCTGCAGACACACACACACACACAGATCGAAATGAGAGCTTTACTCCAAATGTGTTGTGGAAATCATCATTCAGCTAATTTTGATGGCATGGTGGCCAGAATAGGAAAAGATGCTCAGATATTGCATGTGTTATGGTTTTTCTTCTAAGATAAAGTTGCTTGTTTTCTCACATCTAATATTTTGTTCCATCATTCACATATTAGCTCCAAGAAAGGAACTGAACAAACTGTAACTGTCACAACGTAGAGCTGCCTGGGTGGCTCTTAAATGATCAAAGAGAGCATCGTTTCATCAGGAGCAATTTGGGATTCAGTGTATTGCCCAAGGACATGCAGACAGGAGGAGCTGGATTGTGATTAGAAAGTGATTTTGCCAGTGGTGCTGCAGTCTTAATAAATGCTGCCTTATCCTTGCATTATGTCTCACTGTTGTGTATAAATGTTAGATTTCTTTGTGCTTTTTGTTATTACAGCAGCGCTGTTAATTTTGTCATTTAACGCACATCCAGATTTGCACATTTTACTACACTGTAAAGACCCATGGGCAATATTTACATCTCAGCACACTGGCAGCTACAAAACTAATGAAATAATGAAGACAACGAGTAAAAGAGACAGTGATCTACATTTTTCTATAATTAAAGGGTAACATCTGCATTTTTAAACGTGGCCCCTATTTTCCCAACAACATTTTTTTAAATAGGTCCAGTATTGAATCAGAGAGCTGGTAAGTGTTGCTGGGGAGAGGGATGTCTGGGGTGCTTTGCTCGGCCTGCTGCCCCCATAACATGCTCTGGATAAGTGGTTGAAAATGGATGGATGGATGTGAGTGGCAAAAACAAGCACTTTCAGTGGACGGAAATTGACAGTGCATAATTGCCCTGAATGGTTACATTGCAGCCCTGTCACTCAATACTGGACCAGGTTAAAAAAAAATTCTATTAGTCACAGTCAAAAACATGGGAAATTAGGGTCTAGGTTGAAAAACATCAAAGTTAACTGTTCCTGAGATTTGGCAGAGTCTATGCACTACTGTATGTGCACAGTACAGTGAATACATTTCCCTGATTATACTTACACACTTTTACACGTAGGACTTTTACATGTAATGGAGTATCTTCACAGTGTGGTTATAGTTCTTTTATTTCTGCAAATGATCTGAATACTTCCTCCCAGTGGCATAAGGAAGTTACGACAGGCCCCAGTGCACACTGTTATGACGGGCCCTATAGGCATGCTATTGATATGGGCCGTGGTGCACGCTATCGTGCATGTATTGTCTTGACACAAATAGAGACTTGACATAGGACAACATCAACATACATTACACCCAGCAATCATCAATGTGCAGCTGACAAAAACACGGAACAAGTAAGAAATTAATCATTTAATTGAACAGTTTTTATAGCATATTTATAGATTTTATAGCTTGTGAAGAAAAGGACATAATTTTGTTTTAGATAGCTACTGAATATTTTTTAAAAAGAAAAAGAAAAAAGAATGAGTTAGTCTTTTTGAGGACATATATAAGGGCACCATTTTAAAATGAATATTATTCTTGTCTTTATCATTTATCTTTGAACACGGGTATATTTCCAAGGTGGTAATCTGAATCACTTCCAAGGGCCCCTCCACCCCAGAGGCCCCAGTGCAATCACACTGCCTGCACTGTCTATATCTACGCCCCTGCTCCCTCCACCACTGGTCATGCCCTGGGTATTATAACACTGAACTCACTGGTGACAGCTGTGCCATTCCCACTCATGTCTGGGCTTCACTGGGAGGAAGTCTGCTGTTCCTTGGTTCTTCACACGCTGTGGGAACCGCAGCAGGACTCTGTAGTCCAGGTCCCTCACACTCGGGTGATACGCAGACCTGAAGTAAAAGGAAACAGCAACATAATGAGCAAAGTTCACATCGAGTATCTTCACTCTGAGCAGAAGTGACACCTAACTCACTGAGAGAGCGCAGCAGGGGCTGACTTGTTTCACCTTTTTGTTTGTGGTATCTCTACATCACATTATCCTCCACACACACTTCACTGCACATTGAACTCCGTCTCCTCCTCGCTGGGTGCTTTACATAATGGAGCACTACTGTGTAAGCGACAGGGGTGGTTTCTGGTCTTGCCTCAGTAGGTTTTGCATTCACCTCAGGAATCCTTTGCCTTTCACTTCAGAGCTTCTTTTACTTGGCAAAGTGGCTGCTCAGATCAGAGGGGAGAATCTCGGGCGGTTGCCAGGTTTGTGTCCAGCCGCTCTATCACTCTGCTATAGCTTCCAAATGGGACCGAGGCCAACACACATCCTAATGTGGCAAGCAACCTCAGAGGAACCTTAAACGATCATCATTATTTCTTTATAGGTGTGTACCCATTGATTTTTGCATTTAAAGGTATAACATTTTATTACACAGCAGAGAGCATGTGCACAACAAAATGCCCATCAAGGACAGAGGGCGAAACAAGAATCATCAGGCTGACCCTTAATCTACTGGTGTCTTCACTAATTAACTGATGTAATTGGTCTTGACTTGGCTGACAGCTTAATGCTGTGTGATGTCAAATAAATGAGTGCACCTGGAAAGACAGTTCTCTTCAGCAGCACAGCGAAGCGCGTACATCTGCACTCTCTGGATGTAAGAGGCAGCTTGGATGTAGTAAGGGTCAGGAACCAAGTCTGGGAGACCTGCAGAAAAGAATGAATCCACAACTTTAAATTAATGTGAACGCATGCGTTAACTCAGTGCAGGTACTTCTGGAAAACAGGTGGGAGCTTTTTAGTTACATTCTTTAAGGAAGTTGGGGCAGAGAATATGTGATTTAGTGATGTGGCAACAGAAATGTATGTGGTGCACACATTAGAACATTACATTGTGTAGCTCACCTCTATCTAAGTACAAAAAATCTTCACATCTACTGATTTGATATAAAAAAATATAGGAAATTGAACAAATCTGAATGTTAATAAGTAATTTTACTTTTTCTACCTGAGTACATTTGATACCACATAGGCCTACTTTAATAGTATACTTCAGCAGATTATGAACTTTGAATACTTTATACTTTCTGCTGGCCGGCTACCTCACTAATTACCCGCTGCAGTCCATCAATCAGCCATCTAATTTCAGTTTTGCTCAGAGGCTCTCATACAGGAGACATTAGTTTTGCCGTAAGGAGGCATTAAGTCTCATTCCCATTAAAAATACATTATAAAAAGGGGATTTAAATTTTGAAAATGAGTATGAGGCATCTGCTACACTCAGGGCTTCACCAGAAAATGAGCTGTAACTTAGAGAGCTCGTTATTATTCAGACTTTGATATCAGGGTGTAATCAATTAAGGTTTTCTTTGAAGCTTGGTTACAAGGTCTCCAGTCCGCCTCACCATTGTGGAAGAACCTGGTGCCATATCCCGGTCCTGGTGAAGGGCGCACAGTGATCCTGTTCCTGCGGTCTGGTGGGTAAACATTATAGAAAACTGAGTTCCTGTGATGAATGCTGTGCGGGTCCCGTGGGTCACCCATGTCCGTAGTCCCTGTTGCATCCGGCCTTGGGCGTGAGAAGTGTATTTCTACGGAGTTACTGGACAGTGCTGTGGGAGAAACGTTTGACTCCGGTGTGATTCTGGTCAGTGATTGCGCTCTTTGCGCACTGCGAGCGTCTCCTAAATGTGTTCGCTGTGGAATGCGCCGAGCATTCCCACTATCCTCAGCCATGGGGACCCATCCACCTGCAGCAGGTGACCGAGCAGGTGATTGTGAGTTTATCCTGCCGCCTCGGCTGTGCGTAAAGTCCGGTGATCTTACTGGTGACGCTGTGGCCTGTTGCGCGCCATGTCCAGGTGTACTCCGGCCTCCTCGAGGGACTCCACTGCCGGAGAACTCCCGGATGGTGGTGAAAGCAGCAGCGCTGCCGTTAAACGGTGCCTGATGAGAAGGGTATCCCACAGCCACAGCCTCTCTAGACGTTGCGATGCGCGGTGGGGACTGACGTGCCCCAGGTCGTCCTGGGGCAAGTAAATACTGACCAGCATCAACACTAAGAACCGACGCATCCATCTGAGTGAGGTCATTTTGTTGAACGTGACCCCCGGGTGCGTCCTCGAGCTCTCCAGATCTGGTTCTGGTGGATCTGAGCGCAACAGGAGGGTGATGTCGGTTAAAATTGTTTTTTGTTGTCAGTAAAAGCTGAGTGCGTCTTCTGCTCTGCGCAGGTGGGCGATATTGAGTCCCCGTGCTCAGTAAACTGTACACCTGGCCGTTATTCTCCCACTGAAACCGCTGTCTCCACGGTCCGACACCTGCGCGTAAATGGTGCTGACCGGTACCAAAACACACCAGAACATTCAGCAGGCAAATCAGTGCGAGCACAAACTTCTCCATAGCTCAATGTGATGGTGTCTGTATGTGAGGAGCTCCAACACTGAGGCATTGACGACGAATATTTGAGTTTGACATGGGTGATGGGGTGGTGTTTTGAATACACTCCACTCCGTCACGCAGTTGCGCACAGCATCACCACAGAGAGAGAGAGTTTGGGTTGAAACCTCTTCAAATGTCTGTAATGTGAGTTAATCTCGGGAATATGCTTTTTTCCGCCGCGTGCACAACAGGAGCAACACGCACGTCTTAGTTTAACTCTTTCACCACCGTTAACAGAGTGAACTTCATATGGTTCAGCATGTGCTCAAGAAATTAAGGCTGCTAATAATATGCAGGGAATGTCCTGTATTTGACACATTGTGTAATCAATATAGACTGGTGGTATTTGGAGTATGTGTCTTTTGTACAGTACTGGGTTGTATTAAACCTGTTGAATCTCCTCACTGAGGTCAAGTTGACCTCTTCACCACATGGTGGCAGTGGACCCACACTGAAAATCAGTGCTCTGGTTCGTCTGAACCTTTTTTTTTTTTTTTTAATCTAAATCTCATGCCTTGTGTGAATGTCAACACGTCACGTCACGTTTTCATCAGATTTGAACATGAATAAATAAAAAACAGATGTGAAAATGAAGTGACTTGAAATTCCTGCTCTGAAATTTGGGACCCAGATAACCCTCTTGCTGTAGTTCAAATGAACTTATATGCATGAATCCCACTTCATTAAACTTAAAACCCTCAGTGTGTATTTACACCACTGCAGATTTCAAGTTGTTTCAAACTGAGCATCAAACACTTAATTTCCTACATTTTGGTGAATTTTTATGCACCAAATTTGTGCTTTTTTGTATCAATTTATTGTGTAAATGTCTTAAATTTCATCAAAGAAATGTCCCCTGCTACTTCATGTTTTTACTGGGGGAGACAAATGCACATGTTCTAAATACTGAGGGGACATGTCCCCTGCTTACCCCTGAAATCTACACCTATGTGTATTTAAGAAACAGAGCACTCATCTTATCCTCCAGAGCATGTCATATCTAAACTTGTGCTGTGTCACACACTTCAACATTAGGTCAAGTTTATATTTATAAAATCACTGTAGAGTTTTAAACGGGTCCACATCCTTCATACATTAGCCTGCAGAACATTTAGATAAATCTAACCCAGACTGTGTAATACATGAGATATGTGAGGGAGCTCTTTACATTTGATAGTCTCTGTGCTTCACAGTACATCACATTTATTACAGTATGGGTCATTTGGACATGAAACTAGTCTGGAAGACTTTGCCAGACTGTTCATTGCTTTTCAAGGTTGTGATTGTGGAAATTAAAAGACTCAAAATGTACATGCTGTGATGTCCTGAGAGGTAGTGTTATACAGGGGAGAAACATTCTCACAGGGTGGATGCAACAAGGACTACAAATCATCATGGCATTTGTTACAAGACTACAAAACCCATGGTCAGAAGGGCAGTCAGGACACTAGTCACTGCCCAGCTGAACCATATAAGCTAACCTTTCTATAGTTAGGGAGCTGAAAGGGAGGAGAAACAATGTGCGTAAAGAGAGACAACCACAGAGGTAGGCTATACAGACAAGAACCAAGCTTTTGTTATGTTAAGACAGAATTAGAATTACAAAGAGACTGAATACACTGAATTCAAGTTGGAAAACAATGCTTTGCTTTCTTAATATCTTGCGCCCAAAGCTCCGAGATAAAAAGTTCTTGACCCCCCAAGATGTTCAGGTAAGAAGGTAATAAACAGACAAGACATAACCCTCAGGCTGCTGTAACAAACCAAATATCCCTCATAGTGTTGACAATATCTTGTCTCATATCACAATATTGTAACAATATCTTGCCCAGCCCAAGATTGTAGATGGCAGGAAGTAGGTGAGAGTTCCTCACCTTTGCCTTTATTTTGTCTCATTCATCTTGTGCCACAGCTACTGTGGCTCCTTGAACGTGCAAACAGACCAGTAGCCAGTAACATGGTGCCAGTCCCGAGTGCATGGTGACGAAGGCAACCAGCACATTCAGGATTAGAGGAGGTCATGCTGTATGAAACTGTCTCTGCTCCTGTACTAACAGTACAATATCCCCCCCTCTAAATATACCCTCACACCCTGGAAAGCACTCAGAGCCTTTCAGCAGTCTGCATGAGTATAAATCCATGAGTGAGTGTGAGAAACAGGAGCAGGGGAGTGTGTGTCTGTGCATGTGTATGTGTGTGTGTGTGTGTGTGTGTGTGTGTGTGTGTGTGTGTGTGTATAAGTCGTAGGACATGATCACGGGTTCCAGGTCTAGTTGGCTCAGGCAGGCTGTAACCGGATGGGTGTCATTCCTCCAGCATGCCGAGTGGTCTCACAGTGTGAGAACTAAAGATCTCTCAGCCAGTGACACCACTCTGTCCCTAACTCGTCGACACACCATGATTTAAACCCCCTGGCTGGCCTGGCACTAACGTCCAGCGTGTGGAATCAGACACCATCAATGAGCGCTGGCAAGTTTTCATCAAAGCTGCTTTGGAGGTTAAACACACAGGACTTTTACTTGAGGCATATATGTTTACATTTTTCAGATATAACCTGGAACTCTAGTTAAATCACCCTCCTCAAATAACAGATTGGATTTTGGAGACAGAGTGGTCTGGACCAGCTGGCATCATTCAATAAGTATCTGACCTACATTTATAACTTTATTTAACCTATCACTACATTATTATTGCTCTGACTGAATTATAAAGGAACATTTTACATTGGTATGACATGAAAGCCGCCCGGTAACAGCCCTCATCTGAGCACTGACTGACAGCTGGTAGAACCAATGAAAACATCTGAATTACTGACCTGCCTTTCATGTTAACCATTTTGAAGTAATTCACTTCAGTTTCAGAAGGAAATATTGTCTTTGTACTTGGCTGCATTTTCACAGCCATAGTTACTTTGTGGATTAAAATATTACATATAAAACATACGATCAGTTTGTAAAATAAGTGTTGAATGGTAAATGGACTGTCCTTATATTGAATTTGCTCATGGACACTTGGACAAGTGGGCAGGGGGAACCAGGGATCAACCATGATAATAAATGATGCACTGTTGAGATCATCCAATACTATTCAGAAAAGTTTCATGTGGCTCTGCCCCAACCAGTTGCAACATAATTTGTTTGCTTCAACTTATCATTATGAATTAAATGTTGATTGCACAATGATAATGACACCATTGGCGTTAGATTGGTTCCCCATAAGCCTCGTTTTCACTACGAAGGAAGGCTTGATTTACAGCACAAGGGAAGTACGTTGACCATTGCATGACCAAAGCAGGATGAGGATAGTGCTTTAGTTTACCCCGGTATCTTTTGGGAGCGATCCCCAGTTTCCAAAGAGTATTAACATAAGTTCTTTGCAGTTAGTATCCCCAGTAGCAGAAATGCCATACGGTGGAACAACCAGTGTAATGGTGGAAATCAAAATGTAGTGTGCTCTATGTCGTTGGTCAGTGTTACATTGAATTCTGCGACCTGTCAGAATCTGTGACCCAGCCCCGAAACCCTAAAAGTAACCCATCAACAGCTCACAAAACTGATTTTTAAGGGAGTTTGATATTGGATCACAAAATCTGACAGATCACAGATTTCTTTGTTACAGTTGTGGATAGGCTGCTTACATCCTTACATGGGTATAAAGTGCACTACATGAATAAAGCTTGCCTTGTCTTACATGTAATAATAATTCAGTAGGGTATAATAATGACATGGGCCACTTCACTGCCGAATCTGTACATTTACTCTTGATCCAGAAGGTACTTTGTGTTGCAAATACCCCTGTCCTTTTAATTAAGTAAGAATCTTAAGGAAGGACTTTTGCTTGTAGTTGAATATTTTTACTCAGATACTTTGTTTAAGTAACACTGTCAATACAACATACAAATATTGTGTTGCAAGTAAAAATCCTGCTTTCAAACTCTCATTAAAGTGAAAGTATGGTGTTGTACTTAAAGAGCAGTGTGCAGGCTTTAGTGGCATCAAGTGGTGAGGTTGCAGATTGCACCCAACTGAGTACGCCTCTGCTCATCCCTCCCTTTTAAAGCTCATATTAGAGTACATGGTGGCTTTCACTTCAACGGAAAAACACTAATGGCCTTATCTAGAGCCAGTGTTTGGTTTGTCCATTCAGGGCTACTGTAGAAACATGATGGTGCAACATGCTGTGCTCCGTGAAAGAGCACTTAACAAAAGCAAATGAAAACATGATTCATATTGTGCGTTCCAGTCCCCAGACTACTTTACTATAAAGTACGCCAGGAAAAAATTCAGTATGTCCTAATACATAGTGTGTCAAATGTAGTATGCCAAAAATATCAGGATGTTCTACTACTACTGTTCCACTGGTTGTATTTTGCAGTATGCAAGCCAGCATGCTTTTCTATCTCTTCTGACCCACAATCCTCTGCACAGTGGATGATACGCTACATCGACTGTCAGAAGCCACAGTGATGGATGACAGCGCATTCAGGTGATTGATGACAAGTCAGTTTGTAATAATCGGAATATTAATTGTTTATTTTAATAAAATAATTATAAATATAAGCAACAACAAAAGGGCATAAGTATTAAATAACAATAACAGAGATGTATAGACTATGTAATTTTACTATCGTGAATATTACATGATATATGAGTAAGTGGGTCAAAGTTTGGGGTGTAACGTAATGAGGAAGTAGTATGTCCTGATTGTGTGCATACTGCATGCAACAGTGCAGCTGCAGCAAAAGTAATAAGAAAAAGTATGTAATTTGGAACACACCCTTAGTTTCAGGTGATTGTACATACATGGAAGGTTAATTCTGAATATTATATTTCATTTCTGCCAATAGATCGCCTAAATCCTCCACACTGCTGCTTCAAGGGCAGAACTTTCCACTGGGTCTGAATGTGAACCTTGAGCTCACATGCTACAACAGGGTGTGAGAGTTTTTCCATGGAGGCAATAAACCTCAGTGTCATCTGATGCACATCTGGAAGATATTTATGAATCCAGAGGACAAACTGACTCATTTATCAGCCCTTTATTCCAAATGGCACTGAAGAGACACATAAGCAAGAACAGGATGAGTCCTCCTAACACATGCACCTACATACAATTCTGTACATGCTTACGTACGCAAACACTGATAACAACAGAACATCCTCAGTGCAACACTCTGATATTACTGACTTAAGACAGACCCACTCTGCAGAAAGATCAGTCACATGATTAACACACGCTGTGAGAAATTAGGTCAGGTTTGCCTTGGAACACATCTAGACTGGATTTTGTTTTCACTGCTTGGAGCTTTGGATAATGTAGCCACTGTTTCACACACGCCCTTTTTGTGGTGGGGCAATTTGCATTTGACGTGTGCATGTGCACGTACACTCGTACACTCCTACAGCTGGCTCACTCAGTGCTGTATCATTATGTGACAGTATGATTATATGCTGTATGTGTGTTTATAAAATTATGCAACACAGAGCACACAGGGAAGTTATCTAGTTGTCTGTTTTCTTTGTTTCCTGTTTGTCCTTGAAGTGATCCGCCTGTGTGCGTGCAGCCGCAGCCGTCACGCTACTGCTCTCATTTTTAGCACATGGTGTTCAGCTCAGTGTGGTTTCCACGTACACATGCTAGAGTGCCACAACAATCACCTTTGTCCCACCTTGGCCACAAGACACACATGACAGGTGATGTTTACCTACAGCTAATGTTATTAGGGACATAGAGGTTGTTATTGTGTCAATCAAAATAGTGGTCTTCATGCATGTCTTTGTTTTTACTGGTTTGTTTTCCACAGAGTTTTACTACTCATGTTGTGTGCTTCCTGTTGTACTTTATGTTCTATGTAGTGTTTTTTTTTGTTCTCCTTTGTTTCTTCCCCTTTTTTGTTGTTGTTTGTTTATCTCCTTGAGGTGAGGGGAGGTCACATGTATAAACATATTTCTTATTTTTCATTATCTGGATTATATGCTGTTTTAAGGGTGTGCAAATGATAAATAAATAAAATTGTATAGATGCATCTCAGACCCTGCTTTTCCAGACTTCCAGACCCCAAATCACTTATGCTTCTACTTTCTGACTGATGCATGGATGGATTAAGGCCTACTGGGCACAGACACCCCCTGTCAGCCCCCCCCCCCCGGCCTTCAACTGCAAAATAACACTCATACTACTGTAGCACTCACCGACCATGAAAAGACTCCTTAAAATGACCACAAAGAGATACAAAATGACCCCAGAGAGACACAAAACGACATAAAGATGCATCATGACAGCAAAAAGATGCAAAAACAAAAAAGAGGCAAAACCACAAAGTCTGTGTGTCTTGCTCCTAAATAAGAGAGGTGGTGAGACCTTTTGGTCCCACTGTCTCATAATCCACCCATGGTTCCTCTAATGCAGTGGTTCCTGCGGGACATTGAGTCACTGCAGGTGCGGCATGGCTGACTAGGGGAAATATCAGCCTTTTGTCATTCACCACTCGTCAGATACCATCATTTTGTCAGTGATTTCGGCGCAAGACACCAACACAAAAAGGTATCTTTCGCAGTGGTATGATACTTGGAACTTTCACCCGAAAGGTCGCTGTTTGCTTCTCAACCATGTTTTTTTGGGGGGAGTTGGGGGGAATTTTTTGCTCTTGATGACAGGATAGATGCAAATGTGAATGGGGGAGAGACAGGGGGGATCACACACAGCAAAGGACCGCAGGCCAGAACCACTGTCAGAACCACGGCCACTGTGGCAGGGACATTTTGTACATGGGGCGCGTGCTCCACCCACTGAGCTACTAGGCACCCCCAAACCATCATTGTTTTTCAAAACCTAACCACGTAGTTTTGTTGCATACGGAAATAGACGTAAATGCAATATATGTTGATGCTGTGGTCCATCCCCTTACTGTACTTGCATGGGCATGTGGGAATGTGTAATATGTGTATTTATTGTATTTATTGTTGTGCATATGTGCAACTTTTGTTTATCTGTGTGTTTGTTGCGCAAATGTGCAACTTTGTAACTTGCCTTTCTTCTCCTTGTGTAATTTTAACTATGGCGGCAGCTTGTCTCAGCTCATGGAGTCCAAGACAAATGTCCCTTTGGGGACAATAAAGTATCTATCTATCTATCTATCTATCTATCTAAATACAAGGTGTTTTACTAATGTTGTGTTTATTTTGTAAAAGACTGTATTTATCTGAGGAGCAGACACTGTGGCCTACATTTCTTGTAAAAAAAAGGAGGCGTATTGAAAAGACACGATGCACGTAGCAAGCGTAAGTGTCTGGGAACAGTCTGGGAACATCAACAACAGATGCAGGAGGATGTCTAACATGTCATATGTAGTTGTGAAAGTCCACTGGGTTGAGAATGTGTGGTAAAAATAAGGAGTGAAACAAAGTATAGTGACAACAACAGGACAAGAGTTTGCAGATTCTACAATGCTGACCTGTAGTTCAATAAAGTTCAACATGGATCCTTTTGAATGACTCGCTTTCCCATGTTTTGTTGATGATTGAACTTTTATTAGCCTCTGAAGGGGGGCACAACAGACAAAGGTTGCGTACCATTCCGCTCTAATGACAGAAACATTGGTTGTCAGTGTACTTTGGAGATGAGGAGCCTCAGAATACATGCACTTACCTGACCTTTTCTTTATTTAGCTGTGGTATCATGAGCACACACTCACTGTTCTGTGGCAGGATAAGACACTTCCCCCTGGGGAAAATGAGAAATTATTCTGGCCTATTTATAAGTGTGGGCACAAAGGTGACATCAGCACGTGCCTCGGCCCTCGTGTGCTGTAAATCTTGTGTTAATAACCTAAATCTTGTGGTTAGTCTATGACCTACTCAGGCATACTTTCAGAGCAGTGTTTAACCCTCATGAGGACAGATACAGGTGACCAGCAGAGCCTTTCCTGTCTCTAAAATAGAAAAGTGGCTCAACCTGGATGTAGTTCACATGGATGGTTTATATACAGTAATCCTGGGATTCAGATAATAACATTAAGGCTATTCAGTGTCTTAGCAGTTAGATCATGTTTACTATGTCCAGCTGAAACTGAGCTATGTGAAATCCAGAGTGGCCCAGTTTCTTGATCTTTAGTCCTTGACTGAAAGAAAGAGACTCTGGTTACCTTCATCCTCAGTGGATCCAGCACTTTCCTTTAAGCAACTTTGTTTTTTATTTCAATTTAATATCTGCAAAATCGAGCTTTACGATTTTCTATCTTGTTAGCTGATTGTCTTGCAGCCTTTTTTTTTTTTTAAACACAATAACTATAAATGACGTAAGCTCACAAGGGAACTACAGAAGTCTGACAGGAAGTAAATATAGACCCAAGCTGTTGCCTAGCAATGCACTTATGATGAAACTATAGATCGTTTCGTATCAGTTGTTTGAACACTGGCCTTATCAAAGCAGCCTTGGCTTATCATCTGACTTTATAACACTGACGTGCCTTTGTTTCATCATGTTGCAGGTGCTGATAACAAGTGTTGCAAATATGAAGTATTTTACACCGACTCAACCATGCTCAGAGGGGCACCTAAATCAATGTAGACTACTAAATGACAACTAAGTTCATCTGCCTTGTGATATAATAGATAGATGAGGAGTGCCTAATCTTCTCTAAATTGGACAATGGTTGAGACAGGGTGGAAAATTAGTGGAATTCACAATACAGGTAACACCTGTAACAAGATAAAACTGCACCAAGACACTGTTATGTCGGGTTATGGGTATGAAAGCCATCTCTGGTTCAATGAGGCCAATGTTCACTCATGTTTATCTGTATTAACAATTATAAAAAAAAAAAAAAAAAAAAAAAAAAGGACGTGTGGTATTCAGCATTTTATGTGCTAAAGGAATCTGGATAAACTAAAAAAAATGTGATTATATGACAAGACAACACACAGGTTTTTGAGTTGATGTACTGTATATCAACAGCAACTAACGCATTTATTCATAAAAATGCGAGAAATGGTCCAGTACAAGTCAGATGTTTTATGTAACAGTAACATAGTAATGCTCTGCTTCAACAATATTTGTCATCGGAAAAACAAAAACATGGATCATCTGAAGATGATAAAAAAACAATGATAAATTAACATTGCTTCCTTTCATTTACAAACAAAGAATAAAATTACAAAAACTTCATAAAAAAAGAATCCTCAGGTCTATTTACAACTTCTGTACAGTGATGGAGGAGTCTCTTCCTGCTGCAAGAAACACAAAAAGAATGTTAGCCAACATTGTACACTTTAAAATCATTTTACTTTAGCATTTGTATCCTACACATTTTAATTTTTGGAAAATATGCACTTGGTTTCTTAATTAATTTGTAGGTTTTTACTAAAAGCAGAATATTTTTAGCTGCAGGACAGAAACTGAGCGCACTGGCTCTCAAATACAGCAGATTTTTCTGTTAAACTGGAAACAGTGACACACTTTATTTGTTGTCTTACCTATAAACGATTAAGCAGGTTGTTCTGAATGTCTTCATACACCTGGTTGTAGATCTCCTCTTTGGACCTCAAACCATCCAGGGACTCTGCAACACATTGGAAGTTGACCAGTTAATCAGATGTCTGAAAACTGTAGTGAAAAATTGTTGGGCTTTCGTAGAAAACATTAACATACATATTAAAAAAAACAAAAAAGAAACAAGCTGCAACATACCTATATACAAGCCGCTGTTCTCCATCTCTCTCCTGTGCTTCAGGTACATGGGCCACACGTGGCCATCAAACAGGCCGGGAGGGTCGGGGACAGTGTACTGTCTTGTACTGATAAGAATAACGTGTTGTTAGAAAACATCAGTGAATACATAAAGAGTAAATGTGAGAATGTTACCATTAAAATGTTTACACTAACAATGTAACTTGTGTGTTTGCTCACCTTCTCCTTCTTTTGCACTCCTCATAGGGAATTGAGATGTAATAGCACTTGTCGAAAACATCCAGCAGGGGCCTGGAGGAGAGATAAACGTCATCAATGTTCTGAAGCAGCCCAGAGAAAAGGAGCATAGTCGTGCAACTGCTTGCACCGTCTTTTATCTATATCTCTGCAGTGTGCCTGACAGTGATCTCTAGCACACTGACGAATGATCACTCAGCAGTCAGCTTTAAGGACAACTCAGAGAGCCCCTTTCTGCTGAAACTCTTATCTTTAACAGCAGGGCCTGCCCAAAAGGGGCCATATGTATATGTACCAATGGTAAGCGTGCAGTGGTACCACGTGACAGTACAGAAATAACATCATGTATCCAATCTTTGTTATGAATTTCTCAGAATTTGCAATAAACAAGATTGTTGCCTGAAAATTATGTTTTGTGAACGGTGATTAAGTTAGAGAAGTTATTATTTTAGAGCCAAATTAAAAACACAAAACTAAAAAAATTATACATTGTGCAAATAGACATGTCTTTAACTGTACTTGTTTGGAACAACTAGCCACATTTTCTTTTAGAAACTGGGCTGTGTGTAAATCACCATTACAGACCAGTTGTTCAGGGCACAACAAGACAGAAACATCCTCAAAGAAGACTCACAGCAGGTTAAACCAGGTGAAGGGAATCAACTTACGGGTAGTTGTAGAGCAGGAAGCCCTCCACGATCAGAATGTGGGTCTGCTCATCCGGGTCGGCCACTTCGGATACTGGAGACAATGTCACGCCGTGGGAACGGGCGAACTTCACTGGGTTCTCAATCCATCCTTTTACTGTGTTGGTCATGGCCTCCATGTCCAAAGCTGTGATCACTGTGGAGCAAGATTGACAGAAAAGGAAGATGGTGGAAAGTATAGACAGCGTATTAGATTAGACACAAGTCAAAGATTATTAAAAAAATGGAGAAGCGTATTGCATTTTGCTCCGAGTTACCGGAGCTTAATGTTGTGCATGTGAAATGGCTATAATGTGTGTGAAGTTTGAGCGTGAGGGTATGTGACTTCTAAGGGTGAACAATGAGTTACTGGCAGTCTTCAGTGAAGTCTTACCATCCCATTGTCTAAAGCCGTCCTCCCCGACTTGTATCTGATCAGGTTTCTGAAATAACAGTCACCAATAAAACATTGCTGCAACCTCACAGCTCTGAACACTTGCAGATCCCACTCATGCTAGGTTAGAGGTTAAACGAGGGCGCACGCGCACACACACACACACACACACACACACACACACACACACACACACACACACACACGGAAAAGGAGAAGGCCATGCACAAAATAAAGCAATTTAGAAAATTACGCAGTTTTAATTAAAGAGGAGAAAATGCATGCATTTAGCCATGTTAGAAAAGTTTGGGAAATTCAGGGTGAAGTGATGCAAAGTTGATTACTTAAGGTGTTAGCTGGCTATCACAGGAATATGTACTAAATGTAAATTATCAAAAAATTCAAAGCATACAGGAGGAAAATGACTGAAGCACTAAAGTAAGAGTCAACCAGGTAGAGGGACTCTGCTGCACAGCAAGAGTGTGTGGAGAATGAGAGGTTATTCATGGCAGCACCCACTACTTTGCTTACATGCAATACTCACGCAGAGCTCATACAGGAAAGAGTGGGAGAATAATAATAATAATAATAATAATAATAATAATAATAACAACAACAACACAAAGAAAACACTTTCCACTTGCTTAAGCTCACCTTGAAGAAGTCATCCTGGTGCACAACACAGCAGTTGGGCAACGTCTTGATCAACTTATTTGTCAGGGTGGTTTTGCCACCATTGGTGACGCTGTAAACAAGGCAAAAAGTGGTTAAATAAAACTTTAATGATATGTAGCCAGGTACAGGTATAGTTTAAAAATTAAGTGTTTCATTGAGAAAAGAGAAGAAATCAGTCATGGAAGTTTCCCTCCATATGACACGTGGTGCCCTTTGTTTATATTTTACAATATAAATCCTGTTAATTTGGTACATAGGACAAAAGACACATTTGCCTTAAACACAGTTAAATGTAATAAAATATGTGTTTGTGTCATGTGTGGTTCAAATTTCCACTGCTGCAGTAAACAAATGGCGCTGAATACTACCCACATGTTGTGTTTATTTTGATAAAATAGCCAATAACATGCAATAAACCGTGTCATTTCCTACTTTAAAAGCATGCATATGAATGATGATGATAACATTAAACTGTTGTGGGTTTGGGACAATAGTAAAGTAAATCTCCCTCCACTTTTCAGCGGAGTCTGGCGGTGAATTTTCAAATGTCCCGCTCGATTTATGAAAACAAACCAGACACACCGGACATGACTTAGAACTGGTTTGACTGTTAACAGTTTCTGGCGGGCAGCCGATTAAACATGTGGCAAAAGGGATAATGTATATCAACCAGAAGCTAGCTTAAGACACCATTTTAAAATTAACAACGTTATCTGGACCACGAGTTTAACTTCAGGTACCAGCAATAAATTAACGCTGCACTATATAATTTTAATCAACAGTCAGCTGCTTAACTCCACTCAACTCTCAGTCAGTTTAACTGGGATGACATTACAATATTTTGGACAAAGATGGATGTAGCTCTGCTAAATCTGCTAGCATAAATGTTGACGAGCTATTCGATAAAACAAAAAAATAAAAGACTTACCCGCCAATTCCTATAATGTACTTCATCTTTTTGTCTCTTCTCGACAGTCTTGCTCAACGTCAACTGAAGAAACACTCACGAATCCTTTTCAATAAAGTCGAAGGTAAAAATCCAGCAAATTAAACACGTCAAAAAGTTGTACTTTTAAGTCGTATTAACTCTGGCAGTTTGGCTCTAACTGCACGCGGGGGGCACTGCAATTTATACCCAGCCCGCGTCGTGTTGCGTCACCGCATACGCAGGCAGTGGGCGTACTCGTGATCCGACGTGCTCTCTGGCTTTTCCTAACTCGTTCTACGTGCCCCTAGCGGCAGCCAATCAGAGTCCACAGAGCTCCTGACACGGGCCAATCACAGCCCGTGAACTCTCAGATATTTGCATATTTCACAGCACCTGCTGCTCCTGTCTATCACAGGCAGTGGTGCTCGTACTGTTCAGCCAATGTGTTAATCCTCCTCATGATCTCACGGTGGAAAACTACCATTGATGGTGTCCGATTGATACGTTATTATTACAGCTGCTTTGTGCTGCTGTCTGCTGGTAAAGTGATGGTCACATTTCTGTCAACAGTCCCATGATAAGCAGTTGGAAAAATATTGTGTCATTTTAATGCCAGGTTTTATTTAATTCAGTTGCCTATA